GAATGCTTTGCACGCCCCCAAAATGCAGAATTCTGTCTTTGCGAGCTTGTGGTGCTCACTGCATTCATGCATTTGGCACACATTCATTCAAAGTCGACCATGAACCAGCACTGGGCGAGGCAGGTGGACAAGCGGACAGCACTGTGCGTGTACACGGCCCTGCCTCACGGAGCTTGTCGTTCAGGCCAGGGGGACAGCCAACAACCCAGTAGAGAAGTAAAGAAATAAAAGACGTGATCTCAAGGAGTGATTCAATGTTGTGAAGGCAGTAAATCAGAGTGGTTGCTGGACCCTGGGGGTGGGAGGGGAACAGGGAAGGCCTTTGGAGGAAGTGACTTTGACGGGCAAAGAGCTAGGAGTGGAGGCAGGACCAGCTACAGAATTTGCAGGGCCCAGTGCAAAATGCAAACGCAGAGCCCCTTGCTGAAAAATTGTTCAGGATTTCAAGCCGCCAACAGCAGAGCATCAAACCAAGCACGAGGTCCCCTCTCAGCACAAGGCACACCTGTGAAGCTGGCCCTAGTGGGAGTTTTGGGGTGCGGGGTAGAGAGAAAGAGAACATTCTAGTTCACGGGGAGCAGCAAGTGCAAAGGTCCAGAACGGGGACAACAATTGTGAAAGTCCTGGGATGGGGAGGACACTGCAGGAAGGAGAAGGCCCCTTTGAAGCCGGCTTCAAAAAGAGCTTCCTCCCAAATCACAGGCTTAAACATGAGCGTTTTCCCTCCACGCCTCCCCACATTTCCAGTGAGTGGGCTGGCAGGACGAGGCCAGCGTGGGAGGTGGCCTTCCAGGGCAGAGCAGAGGCGAGGGGGCTCCCTGGGGAAACCGCAGAGGGCAGGGCAGATCCACAAACACGAGCCACTGCTTTGCCGTGGTTTCCACGTGAGAGCAGAGCGCTGGAATAAGTACTCTAGGCTGCTTCTCCCAGGCCTGAGTTTTCCATCTTGCAAATGGAGAAAGGATCGGATCAGGTCTGGAAAGGCTAGCCCAAACTCTTAGTCCTCGCTTCTGTTTTGCAGAAACTGGGCCTCACTAAGTTAGGAGGTTTGCCTGAGAGTACAAGGGTACAAACTATTTAGCAGCTTCTCAAAAAAACAGTAACAATTTAAAAAGGGAGCTTCCTGGATTCAACTAATAGGAAGTCTTTTTTTTTTTTTTTTAAGAGACGGTGTCACACTCTGTTGCCCAGGCCAGAGAACAGTGGCATGGTCACAGCTCACTGCAACATCCCACTCCTGGGCTCTAGGAATCTTTCTGCCTTAGCCTCCGGAGTAGCTGGGACCACAGGCATGCACCGCCATACCTGGCTAATTTTTTTAAAAATTCTGTTAGAGATGGGGTCTTGCTATGTTGCCCAGGCTGGTCTCAAAGTCCCAGCCTCATGCAATCCTCCTGCCTCAGCCTCCCACAGTGCTGGGATTACAGGCAAGAGTCACCACTTCTGGCCATAACAAGGCCCCTTGTTCACCATATCTGCCTTCTTGGGTCAGGCATCATTTCCTCAACCCTCCAGCCGGCGTAGGTACTCACCAGCCAGCCTGCCCACACCACTGTTAAATAAAATGCATGGGAGGCTGTGGTTTTGGACTGAGCTCCTATACCAGGCCCCAACAGACCAAACCAAAATGGATCATTCGTGTCAAGTGCCACGTAATCAAACTGAACTTTGAAACGGGCCAGTTTTCCGAAAGAACAGGAGATTCACAGCAACCAATCAGAAGGGGGCCAGTTGACCTCAGCTGGCATGATAAGGAAGTCCCTTCTGTTTTAACCATATAAGGAAAGTCACTTTGAAGCAATGAATCTGCTCTCTGTCCCTGGTTCCCTCTTTCTTCAGCCCTGTTCTGTCTCTAGAGCCAAGCTCCTCTGCCCAACTCCTTGGAACAGCCATTCTGTTTTATAGAATGAGGTGTTGCCTGATTCTAAAATCACTCATGAAAACCAATTAGACCTTTAAACTAAATTTGTTATGATTTTTGTCTTCTGACACCAACCTCTGTGGCCCACACCCCAAATCTGCTCGAGTGTCGACCCGTGGACCTCAGGGAGGAGGCGTTACCGCCCTGCACGAGAAAAGGCTCAGCAGGTGCCCTCCACATTCCACAGATGAGGACCTGGAGGCTCAGAGGGGAGAAGGGACCTACCCAAGGTCACAGAGGACACCAGTCTTCCCTGCGACAACCCCACAATGTCCATTCGTCTCTACATTTTGTACCTCTAGTGTATAAAAACCAGGATCCCTCTGTCCTTCCCGCCAGTCCTTTGCTGGGACAAGGGAAGAATAAAAGATTGACCTGTAATGCTAGGTGTTAGTGCAATGGAGATGCAAGGACAGGAAATTCACTCAACATCTTGGCTTTATTTCCTCCATGAGAGACAGTGAAGTATCTTTTGCCTTCATAAATGCACCAGCTCGGAAAAGCTGTGGTTTAAGCGCAAACCAGCAAAGGCCCCTCAAAGATAGTAGGGGGAAGATGGTAGGTGAAAAGTTAGGAGACTTCCCCCTCTTCCATCGTAACCTACCATTTATGGATGCTTTATTCTTTTGCCAAGTAACCTTAGAAATATTAGTTCATTTAATCTTTACAACTTTCTGGGAATCTAAGACTCGGGAAAGAAGAATAATGATGATGCTATTATTTTATCAAGTCTGTTGGTTTGATAAGTTCTTAATTAGCACCAGGGGAAATAAATCGCACAGTTGGTTCCTTCTTACCCATTAGGGTGGGATCTGCCCTGTTCGGTACAGTAACTGCCAACTGCCAACCAGATGAGGCTATGTAAGTTTTCAATTAATTAAAATTTAAATTTAAAACTCAGTTCTGGGCCAGTCCCAGTGGCTCACACCTGTAATCCTAGCACTTTGGGAGGCTGAGGTGGAAGGATCACTTGAGGCCAGCAGTTTGAGACCAGGGAAACATATTGAGACCACATCTCTACAAAATTTTTTTAAAAAAATTACACGGTGGCATGTGCCTGTAGTACCAGCTACTTGGGAGGCTGAGGTGGGAGGATCCCTTGAGCCCAGGAGTTCGAGGCTGCAGTGAGCTATGATCATGCCACTGCACTCCAGCCTGGGAGACAGAACAAGAACCTATCTCTTAAAACAAAACAAAACTCAGTTCCACAGCTCAACTGTCACATGTGACTCATGGCTGCCATATTAGGCAGTGCAGTTCTAGAACATTCCATTCTAGACATTCCATCATGGCACAACGTTCTGTTAGACTCCACTGGTCTAGCTTGAAAGTTGCGTCTTCCAAGAGCTCTTCCCTGACTTGACCACATCTTTCTAAAATAGATCTGCCCTTGGGTATTCCCTCTTTACCCTCTTTCCTTCCTGGCATTGGACATACTCGGAAACGATCTTAATTTGGTTCCCTGTTTATCTGTACATTTCTCATCGCCCTGCTAGGATGTAGGCTCCTGAGAGCACAACCATATCCATCTTATTTCCTGCTGGAGCTGTCGCGATAAATGTATCTCCTCATCCCTCCCACTTACGCGGGTGCCCGCATAGCTAGCCCCCTTCACAGACACTTCCCACATAACCTCTGACGTTTGTCTCCCACTGAATAGGTGAAGTAAACTGCTTTCCGCTAGTTCCTGCTGATATTGCCACACCGAGGGAAAGAATGGAGTTTGGAGCAGAATGTTGGAGCTGACCCAACAGAGCACACAGGAAAAGATCGTGGGTTTCGCAGGCCGACAGACCCGGCCTTGGAACTTGGCACCACTGCTTCCTAGCTGTGAATCTTGGGAAAGAAACATCACCTATCTGAGCCTCAGTTTTCTCATCTGTAAAATGGGGATCTACCACCAGCCTTGTTATAATGGATAAATGGATAGTTTATACAAACCATAGATAGAAGGAGGGTGGAGCAGCTCAAGCATTGGGTGACAGAGGTGTGGGTGGGCAAAGGAGAAGCCCAGAAGCTATTGAGGCGGGGAGAGGAGAAGGGCCATGTCCAAGGTCACAGAGCAGGCGGTGTTGAACCCAACTCCTCTGACTCTAAAAGCTGTGCTCTTCGTACTAGACTCTGAAACTTTCTCTTCCTTTATCCTTTCTGGAAACTCAATGTAGTCTTCCCCTGAAGACTGTTGGTACAGGGAATGCTTGCCTTTTCTTTTTTCTCTGTCTTCTACTTCTAGCAACCAGGGTTAAAATGAAGCCCACTGCTCATGGAAGAACCCATCCAGATTGTTCTCACTGTGGTAGGGAGCGCAAGAGATGCTTACAAGAATAGCCGATAGAACTCCAGCCCCACGGGAGAAGAACAGGCTGGAAGGAAGGATCGTGAGAGCAGAGTTACCTCTTGCTGGTGAAGTGACAGCTGGTCACTCTTGTCTTCTCTCTGCTCTCCTATATTTCTCAAGTCCTCTACCTGGAATTGCTGTGTTCCATTTGTCATTTGGGGGCAGGGAGATGAGAAGGTGGATAAACAAGAACAATTAAGAAAAACCAAAGCCACCAACTGCACCCCCTGGGATGGTCCCACCTAACGGAACCGATAGGTATTCATTCCCAACACTCAAACTGATGGAGACAGTTACTGGGGGAGGCTTGTTTTTCAGTCCTTAGTTACCCGCTGAGTGAATGAATGAATGAATGTCTCTTCGGGAGGCAGGGAGGACTGTCCCTCCCTCCAGGCTTCCATCGTCATTTGTGGCCCTTGCCAGCCTGGGCTCATTTGGCTTAAACGGTAACTAGTGACACACAAGGTCAGCCTTCCCAAGTAGGCCGAGATGTTCCAGAAGGCCAGTCTCCTGGCACGGGGCCCTGTATGTACCATGGATGGTCAACAGATGATTTTGAAAGGAGGGAAGGAAGGAAGGAAAGAGGAAAGGCTCGTGTCTTCTGCCTTTTCCTCAAAGCCACCCTCGAAGCGTTTGGCCAAAGCAGATGGCTCGACGGAACTGGGAAGGGTCTGGGAAGGGGGCAGACCCCACCCCAACTCTGCGCCCCCCTCCTCGTTATAAAGAGAAAGGGCATGTTACCTCATTGTGGGGACGCGGGTCTCGGGTTCCCCTGTGGTCAGAAGCGCCTCCAGGCTCAGGGTCCCCAGGCTGGCCCGGCTGCCCTTCCGGGAAGACTCACGAAACGAGCTGGCGCCAGGGTCCTCGTCGGAGGAGTATTCGTCAAAGGAGCCCAGGATGAAGTTGGTCATCAGCTGTTTCTTGATGTTTGCCTGTTTCTTGTCCTCCTTGGAGGGGGACCTAGCTTGCTGGCCCCGGGGCTGGGCCGGGGAGGACAGGCCATTGGTATCCGGGGCCTCGGGGTCTTCACTCCCCGTCCCATTGGCTTGGAGTTCTGGGGAGGGCGACACATGGGTGGAAGAAAGGGGGTCTCTTGGGGGCTTCTGGTGCAAGGGTGGCAGGGAGCTTCTCCGCCGACCGGAGTCTTTGGGACGTGTGTGGGAGGCTGGATCTGCTTCCTGGGGAGTCTTTGGTGGAGAGATGCCGTCGCCACCGTTTTCCTGCGGTGGCTTCCCTGAGCTGTCCGAGTCTGGAAAGGGCTCCTGGCTCCGGATGGCACTCGCTTCTGATTGACTCATAGCGACTGGCTCGGAGTCCGTGATTTTCCGCCGGATTTTTAACCAGGAAAAGGTCAGGCAGGAGAAAACCAGACAAGACAGAAAAAGAAGCAAGACCATTCAGAAAATCTGTAAGGAGAAAAAGAGGGACATTTTAGGCTCAACAGAATCCAGCTATTTCTCTCCTAAAGGAGCTAGCGGGCTGAGAGGCAGTCGGGGTTCCGCGGTTTGAGAAGCACAGGAAGAATGGAGACGGGGTTCTCCTCCCAGGAGGAGAGAGAACACGGCCTCGACCTTGGGCTTGTTGCCTCAACCCTCAGGATCTCGGTGTCCTGCCTCTAACTCAGGTGTCCTAGCGCACGCTCGGTGTAGATCATAAACACGCGGGCGAGAGAGAACTAAATGAGATGATGCACGTGGGAGGACTGTTTCTAGCAGCATCACTCGCAATGTCGCCACATGGAGACAGCCCAAGCACCCACGAACTGATGAACGGACAGAGTGGGGTCCGCCCACACTCGGAGTAT